CTTATAACCATATTAATAAATGCTAGACTACGCTGCATAACTTGTGTAGGCGAGTGTACCGTGAGACTAGATCAGGCGCCAGGATTTTACAACCTTTTAACAGCATAATATAAAACCTTATTGCTAAAGACTTAAGAACTATTGTTGATTATTTCGATTGTTAAAGTTTAAATTGCTTAAAGATGATTTGTATATCAGTCAGATATCCCGCACTTTTCGCATTTGTTGCTTTGCTGAGTCCTTAACTCTATCATTCATTTTAAGATGGTCTGTTATCATTTAATTGATGGTGTAAAGCTGAATAGCCATGTTAGTGAATTATTAACCATAATAAGTTTATTATCTGTGTGTTCTCGTGTTTACAGGCTTATTATGTAGTCATCATAAATGTCCCTTTATGTTTTTTATTACTTTTATATCACATTTTTATATCGCACTCGTATTTCTAAATGTTTATCTCTTCGTGTTACAAAAACAATTGCTGTTATAAGTACGCGAGTAAACGTTAAATATGTATCCAAATAAACTGAATTAATAACCGCAGGAATATAGACTGAATGACTTAAAGTCCTATCTTTAAAGTGGTGGTAGTGGGGTGGGCAGGAATCTAGACATCAAATAAAAATATTTGCAAATCATAAAACAGTTTAATTTAGTTTAATTATATAGGCAATTAACTACTAGCCGAAAGGAGTTTGAACAGGTGAGCGAGGTTTTTCTATAAATAACAGCGTGTCCCTTCACTAACACCCACGGGGATTGAACCGGCGCCTGCTTACATTCCGACATCGACCGACACCCGTGCATCGAACTTTGCGTCAACCTGTCCGCGAATTGAATATACTATAGGGTTAGTAACGCATGTGTTAAATGATTGCTGTTATCCTTGACCCTGAACGAAAATTAGTTGCTATCTCCGTCTATTTTGTTAATAATCAGAGGAATGGAATTAATATTAAAACTTATTTTGAATACTTCTACAATAGCCTGGTAAAGCTGTTCAGTAACACTTCTATTGTGTTGACCGGAGATGTCAATTACGTAGCTTCAACAAATAATAACGTAAAATCAAATTTCAAAAACTTACCAATATTACTAAATCGTTCGACCGTGCTTCCGTGAACTAACAAAGTTTCCAGTCTATAACACTTTGGCATGAATCTTTCACAAAGTAACAGTTGGAAGATCGCCATATCTATCAGTTACACAACTTTTTCCAATTAAGATGTAGAGACGGACAACACAAACATTTGCCTGACTAGCTGGCCATCATCCAAATGCTTCTAGTTTGACTTACATTGAATTAGTGTACGTACTCTTAAATAACATATTTATTAAGTATCCTACATTTAACGACTTCGTTCCAGATTTGATTATTTTTATTTCTACAAGTAGGTAGAGTGAGGTTTACACATCTGTGCATCGGCCATTTTTTATAGAATAAGCCACTAATATCAAAACAAACTCCTACATGATATCGGTAAAATAGAGAAGATTGTGACAAGTTAGAAAGTTGCAGATGCTTAGCCTACTTTTTATGGACAAAGAAGATACAGAACAGGAGACTCCCTTTCCTATAGTCTGCATCTTTAACTTATTAGGTGTAAGAAGGGATAAAGAACAAGATGTTGGCTTCAAGGACACATCCAAATTACTCAAAATTAGGCATTCCTTACTTCCACTTCACGACTATAATATGTGTGGTCGTGTTATTAAAGCGGTGGAGCAAGACATCCCTCCAGCTAGTGCTGCGAACTCTGCGGTATATTGCACATGCGCATTTAAATATTTTAAAAAATATATAAAATCTTTGGACTATATCAAGCAAGCAATATTGTGGATGGTTTTTAATGAGATTCTGTTTAATAATTGTTTATTACGTGACATTAATTTTCTCCAAGTGTCGTAATAAAATGATAAATCAACTTCCTGTTTATTCGCACGCGACATTACTTTGTTTGGCACATGGCTTATATCACGTGAAACCTTATAATAATGGACATTAACTCGGACGTAATTTACAGGTCAGAGGTTCCGCCTACAATGGCTACGCCCAGTTACTTATAATTGTTTTCGTGTTAACTGACACGAAATTAACAAATTAACTTTAAATTAAAATGATTCTTAACACAATTACACAAATATTTTTTTCATAAAATATAGTATTGTCATTAGAACTATGGCGTGTTCCAAATTTCAGATCCATCTATAAACAAGAATTTAATGTACTTTAATTGACCCAAATAAACAGAGCAAGCGACATAAAACCCTACAAATATGATTTGCAATAACTATTTGTTTAAAGATAATATTAAAATCAAATCATTAAAATACAGATTAAATACTAACCTCAATAAATCGTGTTTGAAATGCGACTCCCTCGTGCTGTCAAATGCAAGTCTCAAAATGGCGGGGGGCTGTCAAACGCACGATTCAAGATGGCGCCCGCAGGACATTCGACTATTTACGAGCAATTAACTTTATTTCAGAGCATCGCGAGGCGCGTTTTTATGATGCCGCTTAGTTTCCAGATATTGCATTTATAAATGGATTTTCTTTTGTTACTTTTCTATTAGATAACTTTAAAGTGGCGATAATAGAATGACAAGATTAAATGAAAACATATATCAAGTCAAATAGTTTTTTCTTGATATTTACTTCTAAAAGTATAGATATAAAAGTACTATATTTTTTGTGTATAGCAACCCAACCACAGATTATAGTTAAAGTACTTTATTGACCAAATGTTACAGACTTGGAATTGATTTTAAAATTAATTTGCACCTAACTGTACTTCTTACTAAAGACTTTTATATCAATGTGAAATATTAACTAGCTACTATATATTTATATTACAGCCATATATTTCAAGAAAACTGAAGCTTATAGGAATATTTACAGTTATAGTAAAATAACTGAATAGCGGATTCGAATTTACGATCTTATGTTTAACTGACAGTGTCATAAACTAAACCATTTCGCTATTGGCTCTTTAAAATGTATCAATATTTTATACCACTTCGTAATATAGTTTACTTTCAATAATAAGGCCATAGAGTAAACTTCACATGTAGAGTGATTGTCGTAAAACATTTGCAACGTACTAATAAAATTAAAATCACAAGTCAACATCCAGGCTTAAAGGAATAATGAACAAAGATATAGAATCTATTTAACTAAAAATTATAGATTTACGAAAACATAAACACTACCTTATCCAGCAAAAATCATATACAAAATGCATATAAGGGAATAAAAATTAATGTCATTTCTTCACAATCAATTATAAGTAAACAAAAATACTGTAACTAAGTCTATTTAAGATAAGATTTCTAATGAGCAACTCGACTTCAAAGTGAGGTGTCTGCGCAAAAAATAACATTGATCTATGATAGTAGATTGCGTGATATCTTGTGCAAGAGAGTGGCGCCACCTAGTACAGTCAGGCGCCGGCACGCTGCCTCATTACCACTTATCGTACCAATGCAAATCCGGATACTTTAATTAGCCCGCCACAATTTTTCGATATACACCGGACACTAACGTGTCATAGAGTAAATTTAGACGGAGCGTAACAAAATTTTTTGGTCTTTGGTAATTTTTACTGTTAAAAAATATACGATAGGTTACATCTGTCTGGATATTTCTTTAATAAAAATTTTTGTCCGTCTGTCTGTCTGTAGGTTTGTGTCCAAAAGGCCGTGTTAGTCCGGATAATCTACGGAACCGATGGACCGATTTAAGTGGGAAGATAGCTAATGCATCCTGGAATATTACAAGATTTTTTTAATACTGTTCTGAGGATGTCGCGGGCGAGCTTTAGTTTTTAATTAAATTCTATTAAATTAAAATCATTATGTTAAACTGTTCGTGGCAATAGCCTGGTTACCAGTTTAAGATAAGTTTTAGTGTAAACAGTCCGGTTCACTTGTCGTACCGGGACGGATGCGTGGGTTGTTCACGGATTGTGACATTCAAGTTGCTTTTTCTTCAGCGTGGGTTTGTAATTATACGTGCCAGGTTAATTTATTTCATTGCGCTCCGTACTAATGGTGTCGTATTTGCAGAATGATCTGAATGCGATCTCGTATCAAAAGGCATGTCTCTTACAATCCGTTTCGCTTTATATCGCTACGAATTATCTTAAGGGATTAATATCGGTGTTGATTTGACTTGAAGTGTTGCCACCTGTTAGGAATTATATGAATTTTGTTTATCTTTTTTAAATTTGTGAGAACGCTGTCTCCGCGACTAACATGCGAATATGGTATGTTAATATGACTATATAATGAAAAAATAGTTTCCTCGCGTATCAACACTAGTCTTAAACTTAAATATTACTAACTTATGGTAATTATGTCCGAAATAAAAAAAAACAATATGGCGTCTTCATCGTTAAAATCTCACTATTATAAAGTACTGCTTTACATTTTAATATATTTATTATTCGGCCATACTTTTATGACGTACATATACATGTAAACGCCTACACTAAAGTATTATTCAAGTTTTATGTATAAGTAAAAAAAATCATTACTATTCCGTAATTTATTTTGACACCTCTGTTTATTGCTTTACTCTATGCTTTTTAATGACGAATAAGCATAAACTAGGAGCCGTTAAATTTATGTGTTAGTTTACGGTTAGTTAAAATTATAAAAATAGTACGAGGGGAAACGTTTTTATAAATCGTAAATGACCTATGAAACATTTTATATTACGGAATCAAATAAACTTTGAATAATTTATTTTAACATTATTCCAGACACTTTGTATAAAACATTTTTGTTCAAATCTTTGTACGAAACAACGATTAACAATGACTTAAAATGTTGCAAACAAAAAAATTACTATAAAATTTAATTTAATTTTTTTGGACCTAGTCACTGAGCTGACGGCCATCCACCATTAAATGGAGAAGCACCTTGAGAGAGAGAGAGAGAGAGAGAGGGCCTAGTCGTTAATTAGATTTTCTAACCGTATTTTTTTTATTATTTCAGGTAAGTACGAGATATCCTGTCACATCAAAACACCCCTTTGTCAATGGTATGTTTGAAATAACTACACACATACATATATGTGAGCGTTGGTGGATCAGGAGTTAAGCACTTGACGTTTAATCTGCAGATCTTGGTTTTGAATCCCGCCATGTACCAATGAAAGAAAGAAAAGTTTTTTTTTTATTATTATAGGTAACACAGATTACACCAAGAAACAATAACTAACATAATAAAATTGCACATAACTAAGAAATTAAATTAGACTTAAGTTACCATTTATGGTTAATTTGGATAATCTAGTGATGCACCGAATGTGTTTTTCGATTTTCGATTTACATATGTACATTTATCCGTAGTTATTACTGCAATAAATGAACAATATAACAAACGATAACAAATTAGATTTTTCTTACATTCTTTATCATAGATGTAACATGTTTTTTTTTTGACGAATATCGTTTCAAACTTATTTGATATTTAGCACGAACGAACAACTTTGACTCCGTTATCATTAAATTCGTAAAAGACCCGTGAAATTGGAACAACGTTCTAAGAAAATCTGCAATAAACTCGACTTTTAGTGTTGTTAACTATTTCTTATAACAGATTTTACAGATTGTTTGCTCAAGGTGTAGGTTTTAGTGTCTATTTTTTACTATTTCAAGCAGTTTTTTTTAACAAATTTTGGGCAAAAAAATTATTTTTAAGATTAACTTAAATGTCTATAGCACAAATTTTGTTAAATGCAAAGGATAAAGTATGAGTCAAACACTTCAGTGTATTTCGTGGAGAAAAATATCCCAAGCCATGCATTATAAAATCTGCTATCCCTTTTTAATACTGGTATTAGAGAGAGACATATTAAATGCTATAATAAAGTCGGTCCCGCGTAAAATCAACAAGAGAAGCGTAAACAGGGCGAGGCAATTTTTTTTCTACGTGTATAAATTATACAATATCTCCCGACCACTTGTTCGGGCGCAGATTTCATCGAAACGTTTACTCCGAACCCCTCGCAAAGATAAATTAGCTACACTTTATAAAAGAATTGTAAATATTGCTCTCGTGAGAGCTCAGGTGGTAACCAAATTTTAGATAAATGCTACTCGGTTGATTTGATGTATTCATGTGACAAATTGAATTTGTGTTTTATAGTTAAAATCCTCATACTTAAAAAACATACTACAAATATTTCTTACTATAATTATAAATGCGAATGTTTAGATTGTTGGATGGATGGATATTTATTTGAACGTATCTCCAGAACCGCTGAACGGATGTCGATGAAATTTGGCATATGCATAAAGCATAGTCTGGAAGAACACATAGGCTTATGATGCCGCTGTGTATTTTCTACCAATATTTCTAGCTAAGTCGAAAAATCTCGCAAATGCCAAACTTTGTTAAGATAAGTCTCAGTTTAGTCATGTTTATAACGGTTAGCAAACATGCGTGTTATCAAACGAGATGTTATCAGCGCGAAAAATGTTTGCCGTTCTCATGAGATAATATCTAGATTTATAAGTCGGTGAAGCTAATATGTTAACATATATAACGGACTTTTCATCGGATAACTTAAATTGATTGAATTTAAAAATTAATATTTAAGGATCAATCCTAGGAGGCAATGACGATTTACTAAAATATAATGGGTTTTCACTTCATCATCATCATCAGCTCACTATACGTCCCCACCGAGGGGCTCGGAGCCTACCCTAAGTTGAGGGTGTTTAGGCCATAGTCAACCTCGCTGGCCAAGTGCGGGTTGGTTGACTTCACACATATCTTTGGAATTTCTTCTTAGATATGTGCAGGTTGCATCACGATGTTTTTCTTCACCGTAAGAACATCGGATAAATGTACATATGTAAATCGGAAATCGAAAAACACATTGGTACATGGCGGGATTCGAACCCAGGACCTGCAGATTGCAAGTCAAGTGCTTGACCACTGAGCCACCGACGCTCCAGGGGGTTTCCACTGACGGAAGACTATTCCACTGTCTTAGAAAAGACAGATAAAAACAGTAGAAGTTCAAAGTCACGAAACTTGTGTCGAGTAAAACTGTTGAAATCTTACTAATATTATAAGTGCGAAATTTGCGTAAACTTGTGACATAAACGGTTGTATCTTTTGATTGTGTTGGTTTAGAAGTTATATTTTTTCACAGCACCAAGGTACCGAAGACCTGAGTATTTGATATAAATTCCAGCTTCATACCTTCACGCGTTACTGAGAAAAAGGGTCTTGACAGACAGAGGTACAACAAAGTGATCCTATTAGGGGTCCGTTTATTTCCTTGCGAGGTACGGAACATTAAAAATGTAAGAAAAATATTTTAATACTTCTCTAATCTACATTTCGAGCAGCAGTGCTTATTCCCAAAATGGAATGACCAATTCCTTCTGTTCTGTTCAAATATTTTATAGTTACTTTCAAATGTAATTACTCTTCCATACAGCTATGCGTGTAAATCATACAAGTGTGTGAACGATGTTAGAAAATTGTTGGCATTCTTTTAAATAACATCGGTCATACATTTTCTTTAAGTATTTGTGGTGTAAAGTTACATATGCATATTAAACGCTCATTAAGTTTTCGATGTTTTAGAAAATTTATCATCTAACTGAGATCTATGATTTATTCTTTGTTATTTGGCGCGAGTTTCTTTTTTTTTTTTATTTTTTAGGGCAACAGTTATTCTTAAAAGGGTTAATATCAAATTCACATTAAGTGTAAAGACTAAGTAAAACACAAATGTCGAATTAAAAGAAACTACATTTTTTCATAAACATTTTATAACTTAGTATCTGTCGCCCGACTCTGCGCGGAATTAAAGATACATCATTATTAGCCTATGTGTATTCGTCCAGATCCATGCTGCCGTTCTGGAGATACCTTCAAACAAACATCCATTCAAACAGTCGCATTAATAATATTAGTAAGGTTTGCAGAGACAAAATTCTGTTGAAGTGAACTCTATGAACGTTCAACGACAAAATCAATGTAATTTTTTTCAAGACGTTGAAAACACGACTTCTACGAAGAGACTTTTTACTAAAATCTTTTAATCAAGCAAAAACTCGCTCGAAGCTTTGTTAAGAAATCCTTTGTCCAATTCGCTTATAAATCTGTATTATGTTTGGAACAAAATTGTTTTTCATATTTGAATTCTACGAATTTAATATGAATTAGACTTCAACTGATCTTTAAAAACACAGGAAATTGTTATTCATTTAACATTTCTATCAATTCGATTATAAAATATCGTAAACGAGTAAAGTAATCAGTAAAAATAATAAACATAAAAGTAACCACACGCTTTTTGATACCAAAATCTCTGTATAAACCTTATCGTTATCCCTGTCTTTTATCTTTGACGAAACAGAGATAACAATATATTTTAACCCACGGTAAATGATGCAAAATTGTAATTGAATCCGAACGTATAGACTGCAAAAATGATAAGACGGAAGATAGTATTACTGAAATTTGATTGCCATGACACTATATATTTTGTCCCTCTTTTTTTCTAAAGTGAATGAGAGAGATAACACTACTTTTATACAAGTATTTTGATGAATGTAACACACAGAAACTCGAACGATGACCCGACCGCTACACGCGTTCATAAACAATTTACAGACAACAATGTTTATATAAAAATCTATTGATGTTCAGTAACACAAATGTTATTACTCATAATGAGAACAACATTATTCAGTGGCAAGTCTACGAGCCGTTACTCTTTGAAGCCACAGATTGTTTAATGAAACACTTCAAATAAAATTAAATATAAACTCCTTGTTTAATTTATCCAAAAATCGTTACTCTATGACAATTTATTTTTGAAATTTAAATATTAAATTAATTACTGCCAATTTTAGTTGTTTTGTACTGTTATGTGATACGATTACACACTTCTGTTATTCTGCCAAAAATGGAATTTCTATAACTCTATGAAATAACGTAAGCCAAAGACAATCTATGAAAATGCAACATTAAGTTTAGAAAATTGAGGCTTTATTTTTAATTTTCATGTCATAAAACAAGTATAAAGCGTTGAAAAAATAATTTACAGTCAATGTTAATCTTACAAACTACAAGAATGGCGTCAATTCGAGTTATGTTCACTTGGACGTCAGCCAGACGGGATTCGTCGACGCTAGGAAAGACATACGACTGTTTATATTAGTTTTTTCCATCTCAAAGCTTTGATATAACATGAGAAATGTTAGATGGCGGCTTGTATCAATTAGCTGCATCATATTCTATCGTTTGCTATGTGTTATGTACCTTTTGTTTTTTATAACGACTTGCTGTGCTGACTGTACTGAGTTTTAGTTTAGATTTAATTTCAAGTATATTGGCATTTATTTGTCAAGATCGGATTTTGAAAGCCTACGTATTTCAATAATTATAATTTGTAGTAATTTCTAATAAAAGTTTTGACATATTTTTAAGTTAAAATGTAATTCAATATATAAGTTTGTTTTCAACTTTAATGTTTAACTAAATTTACTAATATTTCTTTTATCATTCCAACTAAGGCTCTAGGCTTGTGCTAGGATATGGTTTACGACAATAGTCGAATGGCGAGATGCGAACCCCCGACCTCGTGATCGGAAATCCGTACCCTTAACCATTAGGCTATTGACGCTTATTTCCATGTATGTTTATGTTCTACGTGTTAAATGGAATGTATGACATTATTTATTAGACTAAAAAGAGTTGACTTTACGTATGTAATTTAAACCTGATATAATTTTATACATCGATATGACGCAGACTATAAATTTCATTCGCACGCTCCTCAGCCTACTAAATATCATTTTCCAAGGTTAAAGTCGTAAAGTGTAAAGACAAGCTCTGTTTATATATCTGTGCTGTTATATTTGGGTCGTATCTGGGATTAGATTTTTATGTCAATCATTGGTTTAATTATACTAATATTATAAATGCGAATGTTTAAATGGACGGTTTGAAGGTATCTTCGGAACGGTTGAACGGATTTCGATTAGTCTAAAAGAACACATAGGCTACTTATTGTGTTTTAATTCCGCGCGAACGGAGTCGCGGGCGACCGCTAGTAAACAAATAAAATAAAATAAGCATTTGTATTTTGCCGCAGTATTTTTAAT